AGAAGGGGAAACCCCCAAAACCGTCCGAGTCTCAAAAACCTCTAAACCCTGCCCCAACCCCGAAGCCCTCAGACGCTTAGGAGCCAGAAGCATGGGTGGGGGGAACCAAATGAACCACAGCAGGGGAAGAATGAGGGGGTGTGGACAGAACCAAGGCTGAAGCGACCAACACCCCTAAGTTCAAGTCTTTATAAGCAAAACGGGGCAGCCTCGGGAAGCAACCAACCGAGCACGTTGCAACAACTTAAACCTATCCTGCAATGTGTGAGCCGCTCTGCACCCGAATAATGTCATCATCGGATTGGGTGAATTGAGTCACAAACAAGCAACAAAGCTCGCAAGACTCAGGGTCGAATGTGTCACTTCTTGAGGTTATCTTGAGATGATTTCGGGGCTTTTTAGTGTCCCCGCGGCCCGGTCCTCGACCAGGCCTCCACCCCCAGGAAGCAGCGCGTGACAGCTGACTAACAACGAGGTACCTATTTTACTGCTAGGTAACAGGGGCATAGGGTGAAAGAAACTGTGCCCATTGTTTCTCGCCAGCGAGAAACTGACCCAACAGGCAGCACGACGGAGGCAAAAACAATGAGCGTTGCCCTGAGACAAGGCGACAGAGCAACCCTCAAACTCACACACGGCGAGAGGGGACTCAGGAGTCGCATCCATCGGACCTGAGTGCCCCCATGGGGTTTCCCAGGGCCCCCAGATTGGGTCTGCTTAGGGTAATCCCAGGCTGGGTACTGTTAACCGGCACCCAAGCTACCAATCAACACTGCTAAAGCTGAAACTCCAAGATGTGTCCACTCACGAGCACAAAGCAAGGGGTACCACCAAACAAAAGCAAATCCTAGAATAACAGGGGGTAGGAACATCAAGGCAGACCCCCCCCCCCCCATCAGGCAAAAACAAAAAGAAAAATCTCTTAAGGACAGCGTACCCAGAGGGAACAGAATCGGCTGCTGTTATAGGTGAAAACTAGCTGCACAGTATCCCGCACCCCGACCAGTGCAAAAACTACCACTTACCCCAACTCAAGGCAAACAAGGGAGGAAACCCCAAAAAGCACTCGTGGTGGTCAATCACCAAGCAGCAAAAGACCAACAAAAGTAGACCCCAAGGTGACTTGTGGAAGAGAACCCCAAGCCCCAAGGGTGGTACTTACAGGGCACTCAGGGAAGGTGACGCTAAGCACATGCAGCCCGAGTACCACAGAATATTACTCCCAGCTCGCACACCACAGTAAGAGTAGTACTGAAACAGGGAACAGCACAATACAAGAGTCTGGAGCTGGAGCCACCCAACCTTGCCGTTTCCCATCAGCCAAAGAACTGGGGTGTGGATCGCCGGTGTGGGGTTTTTGGCTCCCCCTTCACCCCTCCCGGGGAGGGGGGAGCTGCGCAGACATACGGCGCGGCTTGTGTGATGTCATGCTTGTTTGCTCGTTTTCATTTAGGGAGTTCTGTCCACTCGTTTGTCTATTTTCGTCGGTTTCACCAGAATAGGAGGTTGTTTTGGGGCGCTTACCTTTCTGGGTGCCTGTCCCGGTCGATGGCAGATAAAGAATGCTCCAAAATCACAAGTGCATTTCAATAGGCCATTACCCCTCGTGGCTCTCTGAGGGGGCTAGTTTATGGACTGTGGTCCCCGGTAGTCCTAGAACTCCCCCCACATCGACTGATGCCAAATGTAGGGATATCCATATCAGCCTGGATAGCTCCGGGGACCGAAGGGGCGTCCCCCAGAAATAATTATAAAATTTAATAGTGCATCCTCACTCTAACGAACCCCGCTCTAGCGAATTCTCGGAAGATCCGAACAAATTGAATTCGGTACTAAATGTTCAGTGGAACATACAAATGTTCAATTAACCCTTAAAGTGCGCATCACGTCATATGACGTGTTGGACGTTGTTCCAGTCAACTGCGCATCACGTCATATGACGTGTTGGAGTACTACGCAAGATTTAAACGGCCCGCGGATACATGGGGTTCACTACACCATCAGGGCTCTTGTAAACAGACGCCATTTTAAAAAAAAATCGTGGGCCAAACTCCCGGGTGTTATTGGCCTCAGTATTGAGTGAGCAACCAAGCCTGACGCACGCAGCATGAGCTAACAGCACTGCTGTTCAGCTTGTGACCACAGCATCGCCTAAAAATGCCAAAATATACTTGTTCATGCTATTATGTAGTGATGATATTATTACAGAAGACCCCTGACTGTGATAAAACTGACCAGGGTTCTGATAATAGCAGAATTGTGGTGATATTTAGTGCTGTGCGCCATGGAGTGAGGAGTAATGCTGTGGGAGGGAGGATGGTGGCGATGTCTTCTGACTGTGTGTGGCCACCTTTTATTGACTGCACTCACCATACCAGCTTAGTGGTTCGCTATGGTGAACACAAATGTAGATACTTATATATAACGTGTGTATAGAGGGTATAAACAGCAAGAGAAGGTTGGGAGCCGCCATTTTGGTGAGGGCGGTGGCGTCGTCTGCATGACGCCACCGTGCAGACGACGGTGTTCTTTACTGGTTACCACGATGGTCTTTGGGCACCATACCGGTTTATTTGTACAAGTATGGTGAATAAAACAGATAGATATTTACTGGTATATATAATGTCTGTATATAGCGTAATAACACCACACAGTATTGTTGGAGGAGAAATAATAGTGCGTCTGGCCTTGAGGGCGGCAGCCATCAGCTGACTGTGTGAGGTCCTACGTCTTTGTGCCTTTACTCACCATACAAGCTTAGATGTACAGTTATGGTGAACAAAACATGTAGATAGATACTTATATATAACGTCTGTATATAGTGAATTATAGCAAAAACAGTATTGTGGGAGGAGAATGTGGGTGAGTCAGATGACTTGAGGGAGGGCGGGAGTGGCTGGCTGGTACACGGCGGTCGGTCACTCGTTACTTTTTGACTCATAATAGCTACTTAGTGGTTCGTTATAGTGAACAAAACATGCAGATACTTATATATAACCTGTGCTTATAGTGTAATAACCGACAAAGTATTTGTTCACTGATTGATGAACATAATTGAATCAACAATATGCACACCATATTTTTGAGTACAGCAATGATTCACTCATTTTATTATATAAATATATCAAATTACACACTATTGAATAATATTACAGCAAAAACACTATGAAAAATCAATCAGAGACATTGAAATAATTAGGTAATTATCTCTTTGTGGCAACTCCGGCCTGACAGCTGGCGAGCAACAGACCGCCTGGGACACACGCTGAGTCAGCGCCTATTTTTTGCCAGATTTCCCTGCTCTATAGCGGGCAATATATGCCACTTACAATTTTTTTATTATTTTTCCCGTGATCAGTGAACACAAATTAACAGGTTAGGAAGAAAAAATAATTTTTTTTTTTTTCAAAATTACATGCGCCTGTGGGGAAGAAAGGATATTATACCCCTAGCATGTTAAGGGTTAAACAAGGATTGTTCGTCCAAGCGATCACCGAAACCGAGCTATCATAGTTGATAACAGCCACTGTCATCAATTATGATACACCAAAGTGTAAACAGTTGTACAGTATTATATTTGCTTACCCACTGTTTCCAGTGAGAAATGATTGAAGGATGATAAAATGGTGTCAGGGGAGGCAGGTTGAGTCATTGGTGAGGGTTGGAGTCTGGGGGGCAAGTGATGTCAGTAGTTGGGGGTTTAGTGTCAGGAGGCAGGTGGTGGAAGTTATTCTCATTGGGGGGTTGTCAGAGAAGACCTGGTGGTGTCAGTGGTGGAAGTTGTCAGGGGAGGCAGGTGGTATTAGGGGGAGACAGGTGGTGTCAGGGGAGGCAGGTGGTGTCAGGAGAGGCAGGTGGTATCAAGGGTGGCAGGTGGTGTCAAGGGTAGCAGGTGGTGTCAGGGAGGCAGGTGTTGTCAGGGGAGGCAAGTGGTATCAGATGGTGTCAAAGGAGGCAGGTGGTGGTAGTTATTCTCATTGGGGTTGTCAGGAAAGACCTGGTGGTGTCAGTGGTGGAAGTTGTCAGGGGAGGCAAGTGGTGTCAGGGAGAGACAGGTGGTGTCAGGGGAGGCAGGTGGTGTCAGGAGAGGCAGGTGGTGTCAAGGGTGGCAGGTGGTGGCAGGTGGTGGCAAGGGGGGCAGGTGGTGTCAGGTGTTGCCAGGGGAGGCAGGTGGTATCAGGTGGTGTCAGAGGAGGCAGATGGTGTCAGGGGAGGCAGGTGATGTCAGGGGAGGCAGGTGATGTAAGGGAAGGCAGGTGGTGTCAGAGGAGGCAGGTGGTGTCAGGGGGAGGCAGGTGGTGGCAAGTCGTGTCAGGGGAGGCAGGTGGTGTCAGGTGTTGTCAGGGGGAGGCAGGTGTTGTCAGGAGGAGGCAGGTGGTGTCAGTGGAGGCTGGTGGTGTCAGGTGTTGTCAGGGGAGGCAGGTGGTGTCAGGGGAGACAGGTGGTGTCAGGGGAGGCAGGTGGTGTCAGGGGAGGCAGGTGTTGTCAGGGGAGGCAGGTGGTGTCAGGGGAGGCAGGGGAGAGGCAGGTGTTGCCAGGTGTTCTCAGGGGGAGGCAGGTGTTGTCAGGTGTTCTCAGGGGGAGGCAGGTGGTATCAGGGGAGGCAGGTGGTGTCAGGTGTTGTCAGGGGGAGACAGGTGGTGGCAGGTGTTGTCAGGGGAGGCAGGTGGTGTCAGGGGAAGCAGGTGGTGTCAGGGGAGGCAGGTGGGGTCAGTGGGTGAGCTCTGGTTATCAGTTATCTGCTAGTTGGCAATACGTGGCTGGCGCCTCCATACTTCCACCTCGATAGTTCACTCACTGTCTGCTTTTCACCAAATTAGGAGAGAAAATTTTACCATTTGAGTGGTTTGTAACACATCACTCTATCATAATCCTTAGTCAAAATGAAGAATGCATAATAAATGGGGGTATCAGTGGCGAGGGGGATGTATTAGGGGGGTTAGAAAGTCAGCTAGCATCTATGTTTTTTGTTTTTGTTTTTTTGTTGTTGTTTTTTCGTTGGGTGTGTTGAAGGAGACGCCTCCAAGTTTAGCCCTTCTCCCTGCTGCTACCTCAATACACCCCGTACTAAACTCGAGAATATTTTACTATTTTAGTTGCTTGTAACAATGCTTTATTATATTATGTAGTCAAAATGAAGAATTCATAAAAAATGGAGGTGTCAGTGGTGGGGGATGGTGTCAGTGGTGAGGGATGGTGTCAAGAGAAGTTTGGTGGTTGGGATGGTGTCAAGAGAAGTTTGGTGGTTGGGATGGTGTCAAGAAAAGTTGGTGGTGGGGGATGGTGTCAGTGGTAGGGGATGGTGTCAGTGGTGGGGGATGGCGTCAGTGGTGGGGGATGGTGTCAGTGGTGGGGGATGGTGTCAGTGGTGGGGGATGGTGTCAGTGGTGGGGGATGGAGTCAGTGGTGGGGGATGGTGTCAGTGGTGGGGGATGGTGTCAGTGGTGGGGGATGGTGTCAGTGGTGGGGGATGGTGTCAGTGGTGGGGGATGGTGTCAGTGGTGGGGGATGGTGTCAGTGGTGGGGGATGGTGTCAGTGGTGGGGGATGGTGTCAGTGGTGAGGGATGGTGTCAGTGGTGGAGGATGGTGTCAGTGGTGGGGGGGGGGGGGGGTCAAGAGAAGTTTGGTGGTGGGGAATGGTGTCAGAGAAGCGACTGATGACAAAGAGCTGGCAGATTATTATCGACACCTAAAGGGCATGAAAGATATTATAATGAAGCAGTGCACAACGAAGAAACAAACTATAATTCAAAAGTTTTAGTACAGTTTCACAGTAGGCCTTCAGGACCAGCACCCAGCACTAGCATGGACTCCCTTTGTGAGTCGGGTGCAATTTTTCCTAATGCAAATGTGTCCTGGCATATGTATAAAAAATATATATATATTTTTTAAGAAGGTTGTTGGGGCCGAATGGATGGAACGACTTCCATACTGGAACGAATCGGCTTCGAGGAGAACTACCCAGGACGTGTACAACACTACATCAAAAATGTACCGTCCGGAAAAGGAACAAAGAAAAGGCCGTAACCAGGGCCGTAATCCATAGCATAGCCAATAAGCCCATACTAATATACACAACAATGAGTAGTATAGAGGAAGGAAATATGGAAACATGCAATGAAAAGACCCTAAATATAGTCCAAGCACCAGTAGCTAGTGACAAGAGAGTATAATCCATTAGATGAACTAATAAGATCTAGGAAACAAGTGTTAACAGAATGTACATGATCAAATATACACACAGACACTCCAATGTACATATAAGGGTGCAGCCAGGCACTGAACGACAGTCAATGAAGGAGTGTCCAGATAGCATTGAGTCAATAAATGAGTGCCCAGATAGCATCGATATAAGCACAAAGTAAGATCACGTTAAGATATATGCAAATGGGCAAAACAACACATCACAAACAATACCCAACACTCACCCAAAAAATGAGAATCATCACCCGGCTGACAGTGTTGCCAGACCGTATACTCTCACCTGTAGAACGTAGACACTATCGTGTCATGACACAGCTGAGCCATTTACAGGGTAATACTTTTGCGCCTCGGGCATGTGCGCCACAAACTTAGAGGTCATGCCCCCAGTTTGCAGGAGAACGAGAGGCGACACCGAAATGTGTATACTAGTTTCAGTTTTCTCACCTTAATTCTCGTGCTACGTCGTTCATTTTGGTATCATTGTGTTTGCAACTAAATTCCCTGCAGGTGTATATGCATATAATGGCCAAAAGCCCAGCGTGACTCCCCGCAGTAAAGCCTAAAGTTACCTACGAACGAGCATCAATTTGCTCACCACAGCCTAATGTGTATACTCGTTCAGTTTGATAACATAAATTTTTGTGTTACGTCTTTCATTTTGGTATCAAATTGTTTGCAATATAAAAGGCGCGTATTTAAAGCTATTCCCATAATAATAGAGCAATAACTGAAATTTTAACAAATATTATAATTTTGGACGCTCATCATTACAAAATTATTTATATCTTTCCAGTGTTTAGACATCAATTTTTGTGTTACATCTTTCATTTTGGTATCAAACTGTAAGCACTCTAAAGGCGCTCATTTTTAAACTATCCCGAAGTCGATTGGATAATAAATGAATTTTATACAAAAAAATTTTTATCAGATGCCAGCACAGTCCAATGCACTCAAGACAAAAAAATCAGACGCCATGGTCATTCGAAGAGTGCGATAGTGTTAACATTCCAGGAGCATCACTAGAGGATTATGTCCAGAGTCGCACGCACAGACACAATAAGAATTTCAGAGAACAACATAGAGCGGATAGAGGTGTCTAGAGATGAAGTGGAAACTATGCTAAAGGAGCTCAGTAAGAACAAAGCAGCTGGCCCAGATGGAGTTTCACCATGGGTTCTGAGAGAATGTGCATCTGAGCTCAGCATTCCACTTCACCTGATCTTTCAGGCATCCCTGTGTACAGGAATCATAGCAGACGTGTGGAAATAGGCTAACATAGTTCCAATCTACAAAAGTGACAGCAGGGAAGACCCCCTCAATTATAGACCTGTATCATTGACAAGTGTAGTAGTGAAAGTATTGGAAAAACTAATCAAAACTAAATGGGTAGAACACCTAGAGAGAAATGATATAATATCAGACAGACAGTATGGTTTTCGATCTGGAAGATCCTGTGTATCGAATTTACTCCGTTTCTATGATCGAGCAACAGAGATATTACAGGAAAGAGATGGTTGGGTTGACTGCATCTATCTGGACCTAAAAAAGGCTTTCAACAGAGTTCCACATAAGAGGTTGTTCTGGAAACTAGAAAATATTGGAGGGGTGACAGGTAAGCTTTTAACATGGGTGAAAAATTTTCTGACTGATAGAAAAATGAAGGCAGTAATCAGAGGCAATGTATAGGACTGGAGAAATGTCACAAGTGGAGTACCACAGGGCTCAGTTCTTGCACCAGTGATGTTTATTGTCTACATAAATGATCTACCAGTTGGTATACAGAATTATATGAACATGTTTGCTGATGATGCTAAGATAATAGGAAGGATAAGAAACTTAGATGATTGTCATGCTCTTCAAGATGACCTGGACAAAATAAGTATATGGAGCACCACTTGGCAAATGGAATTTAATGTTAATAAATGCCATGTTATGGAATGTGGAATAGGAGAACATAGACCCCACACAACCTATATATTATGTGAGAAATCTTTAAAGAATTCTGATAAAGAAAGAGATCTAGGGGTGGTTCTAGATAGAAAACTATCACCTAAGGACCACATAAAGAATATTGTGCGAGGAGCCTATGCCACGCTTTCTAACTTCAGAATTGCTTTTAAAGACATGGATGGCGATATACTAAAGAAATTGTTCACGACTTTTGTTAGGCCAAAGCTAGAATATGCAGCGGTTGTGTGGTGCCCATATCTTAAGAAGCACATCAACAAACTGGAAAAGGTGCAAAGACATGCTACTAAGTGGCTCCCAGAACTGAAGGGCAAGAACTACGAGGAGAGGTTAGGGGCAAGAACTACGAGGAGAGGTTAGAGGCATTAAATATGCCAAAATTAGAAGACAGAAGGAAAAGAGGTGATATGATCGCTACATACAAAATAGTAACAGGAATTGATAAAATCGATAGGGAAGATTTCCTGAGGCCTGGAACTTTAAGAACAAGATGTCATAGATTTAAACTAGCTAAACACAGATGCCGAAGAAATAAAAGAAAATTAACTTTCGCAAACAGAGTGGTAGATGGTTGGAACAAGTTAGGTGAGAAGGTGGTGGAGGCCAAGACTGTCAGTAGTTTCAAAGCATTATATGACAAAGAGTGCTGGGAAGACGGGACACCACGAGCGTAGCTCTCATCCTGTAACTACACTTAGGTAATTACACTGACTATAAACAAAATGATCATCCTCAGGCCATGCGCAGAATGCATGAGGACCGAGGAGGCTCCTCCCTTCCGTTGGGGAAGGGAGTCTACAAGGTTTATTAAACAATCATAATAAATACTGAGACATTACTGAGAGAGGAGCAGATATGAAAATAATTAGATACAACAGGGAAAGACGATAAGCAGTACAGGAGAGTACCAACAAAGCCCATAAAAGGCCAGAGGTAAACCTCACCGGAAATCGATAGATGTTCCAATAGTATGGCAAGTCCAAAGATCCACCTGAATCTTCGAGACCCTTAATAATCAAGCGCAAAATCACGGAGGCCAATATGGGCCCATGGCTATGCAGGATCCCGATAAGAAGCAAACAAGATCGTGACGTGACGGAGAATACATGTCCTTGATAGAATGTTGAGAAAGTGGATAAAAGTACCCAGTCGAGCCGGGGAGCCAGTCGGCCGAGAGGACAGCACTCTGGGCTTGTGATCCTGTGGTCCCGGGTTCGATCCCAGGCGCCGGCGAGAAACAATGGGCAGAGTTTCTTTCACCCTATGCCCCTGTTACCTAGCAGTAAAATAGGTACCTGGGTGTTAGTCAGCTGTCACGGGCTGCTTCCCGGGGGGGGGGAGGCCTGGTCGAGGACCGGGCCGTGGGGACACTAAAGCCCCGAAATCATCTCAAGATAACCCACAGGAATGAAGGAACCAACGGACTCGAAGGGGCATGGAACCGAACCCAGGAAGGGGCAGATACAAAACAAATCGTACGCAGGAGGAGGAAGGAAAACCCCACTCCTAGCAACTGCAAGCCCTGCTCCAAGGGCACAAAAACCTAAGCAAGGCCAACGGGGCCAAGGCCCCAAGGTCAACCTCTCCCCAGCCCCGGGAACCTCCACGGCAGGACCCGGGACCGAACCGCCCCCCCAAAGCCCCGGCCTCACAAGAAAAAGCCGAGGCAGCCGTAAAAACACTAAGGAAGGGAGCCCACTGATCAGACCCATACACCACAGCTGGAAGAACAGGCTCGATTGTCTCCGTCGCCACCCCAGAAAGGATAATCCCCGAGACTGCCCAGATCTCAAGACCATCGAAACCCCGCCCTGACCCCGAAACCCACAGACGGTTCAGAACCGGATGCAGGGAGGGATGGGGGGGGGGGGACCAGACGGAATTACAACATGGGAAAGAGAAGGGGGATGCGGACGGAACCAAAACCGAAGCGACCAATACCCCCTAGCCCGGGTCCCTACAACCAAAACGGGGCAGCATTGGGGCTTCCGGGTAGCAAACAACCTAACACATTGCAACCACCTGAACCCAACGTGCAATGCCTGTGTTGCCTGTACCCGCATAGAGTCATCATAGGACTGGGTAACTGAGTCAGAAACCAGCAACAAAACTCGCTGGACTCCGGGTCGAAGGTGTCACTGACCCAGCAGGCAGCATGACGGAGGCAAAAACAACGAGAGTCACCACGAGACAAGGGGAACAGAGCAACCCTCAAACTTGCACAAAGCGTGAGGGGACTCAGGGGTCACATCCATCGGACCCCACATGCCCCTGTGGGGGATTCCCAGGGTCCTGAGATTGAACACACACTCAGGGAAGCCCAGGCAGGGTACTGCTAACCAACGTCCAAGTCAACCAACAACCTTCTAAGTGCTGAATTCCCAGGACATGTACACTTACAGGAACCTAGCAGGGGGGTTACCACCAGAAAGACAGAAGTACACAATATACAATGAATAAATCCACAAGGGCAGTGACGAGGGTTCGAACCTACATTCGAGTGGATCCCAGATGCTGCCTTTATCAACTACATGGCCCTTGTGGATTTGTTCATTTGATGCATCACGCTATTGTGATTTCTATGTGTGACACAATATACAGATGAGGGCAACCAAGCAAAGGCAGAACCCCCCCCCCCCCTCCCCAGGCAGGGAAAACAAAAACAAAAAATAAAACCCAGCAAGAGGACAACGTACCCAGGCGGAACAGAGCCAGCCGACATGATAGGTGAAAACTAGCTGTGCAGTACCCTGCGCCACTACCAGTGCAAACTGGTAGGGGCATAACTCTCTTACTCTAAGGCAAACAAGAGAGCCAGAACACCACCGCACACAAGCACACAAAGGGGGCCGAAAGCCGAGCAGCAAATGACCAAACAGGCAGAACCCAAGGAAATTGGGGAAGGTGGCCCCAAGCCCGAAGGCCAGTACTTACTGGGCACCTAGGGAATGTAGCCCTAGTCGCATGCAGCCTGAGTACTGAAGAATCACTCCTGGCTCGCATGCCCTCTATGAGACAGCCACCACACTACAAGGGCACAGAGCTGAAGACAAAAAACGGAGCACGAGCACATGACTTCAGTCTAGCGCATCAGCCTCAGAACTAAGGTTTTGGATAGCTGGCACAGGGGGTCTGGGGCTCTCCTTCCCCCTTTCCCAGGGAGGGGGGAGCTGCATAGATGGAGGCACGGCGACATGGTGATATCATACTCTTTTGCTCGTTTTTGTTTAATGAGTTCTGTCCACTAGTTCGGCTTTTAGTTGCAATTTCTTAACCAGAATAGGGGTTTGTTTTGGGATGCTTACCTTTCTGGGTGCCTGACCCAGTCAATGGCAGACATAGAATGCTTCCAACCACATGGGGGTTTCTATAGGCCATTGCTTCTCGTGCCTCTCTGAGGGGGCCAGGTTCTGGTTTGTGGTCCTTGGTAGGCCTATGATCTCCTTTCATACTGACTGATGCCAAAGTCTAATATTAGCAATATCAGCCTGGGTAACTCCGGGAAGCCGACGGGGCTCTCCGCAGAAATGAGCCAAAAGGGTCAGAAACCAGTTGGGTTGGCCAAAAGAGAGCCAGCTTGGACAGACTCTAAGCAGCAGTGGATAAGGGATCCACTGTATTTTAGAAAATCCATGCCATCTATCTTCTACTACTGATGAATATTTTCTTTAGTGCTTCAAAGGTTAAAATGCTGTACATGCATTCACAAACAAATCAAAAGTTTAAATTTGACTAAAAGAGAAAGGTAATTTAGAAAAAACATACCTGATGCTATGGCACCAAATCCAGCTAATACTGCCGTTTTGTGAAGGCAATTTCCAACAGCAATCCATCTGGCAGTCTCATCTCCTAATGTTGTTGGCTCTATAACAATAGTTGTCACACCTTTTTCCAATGCTCTTTCCAACTCCAACTCAAAAGTTTCATGGGCAGAGTCACTGTCATACACTTCACGGATGATGGCCAGCTGAGAACAAGACTCCCTGGAAAACAAAAATGAGAACTTATTCTTTTAATGACCTCAGCTGTAGAATATGCTAAATCATTGAAGACTCCTGGTACCGTTATACCTAAGCTATACCTGATCAACCAGGCTGTGACTCATACGTCAGGCTGCGAGCAGCCGCGTCCAACAGCTTGGTTGATCAGTCCGGCAACCAGGAGGCCTGGTCGACGACCGGGCCGCGGGGACGCTAAGCCCCGGAAGCACCTCAAGGTAACCTCAAGGTAACCGTGGGTATCTATGAATAACAGTGCAATTCCTACTTCTGTATCAGTCTACATCATTTGTTGTCCACAAAATCAAGGTAAATGTGGTGGCCATGCTATTTTCATACAAAATATTATTTTTATCATCTGTCCAGATGGCTGTAAATTTTAAGATTGCACTTTATAATCTTTACGCCACTGCCCTAATAAGACTAAAATGTAGGAAGGAAAGATTTTGTAATTTTGTGGTCATTAAGTACCCCACAAACATTGTTTTAAAAACTTTTATAGTTCTTTGTGACAGGTATTAACTAAGACTGTCTAATATTGAAAGTACCAGTAATTCTAAATTCCCACAAACTCAAGGATATAGCTAGCAGGCACCAGGTGGCAATACCATTGGAAAACTGGCATTTTGCATAATTACAAATATTTTATTTGAACATTTGTCTCTGAATATACACTGTATTATGCAATTCTATCAGACATTTTTAATGCAAATCATTTTAGAAGTTCAGATTTAACCACTGATGCATCACATTTATTGTGACATTCTGGCTGTGCGCTGAAAATAAAGTGTTCCAAAAACAGTATTTGTTCTTTTTGTATTGTTAATTAGCACCCAGAAAGCACATAAATCCAAGTACAAATCTCTATCTCTTGTAGTTTAGCCGTGGTTGCCTGGAGAAGTCGTATTTTGGGGGTAAAAATTAGGAGATTTGCTGCATGGGAATAACTTTGTTGACCTATTTTCAATGTTTCTCACTGTATTTATTTAGTTTTTTGCTCAAATAAGTTGTATCTGTGTGTAAAAAACAGTGTTTATTATGCATAACTTTGAAATTATACATATATGCTAGTATATGTGCATAAATATTTGCATGCCATGTTTTCACTCAACTAATATTTATATATATAGGCCAACTTATAAGCCTAAATCTTATAATTAGACATAGCACACATTTTGCCTGAAATATATAATGGTAATCATTCACTTGCTGCTGTTAAACTTTCAGTGGTACATAGTATGGCAGCCCTATACATAACTAAAGCCGTGTATTAACAGGGACTCTGGTTGTTTTTTTCAAGATGGGGGATGCTTACTGGAGGTCTGAGGAAGTAAATGTGTGCCCTCTTGTATACATTGAATTTTCAATTCTTATGATATACTAACACTATCGCACCCCGGGCATGCGCGCCGCCAACTTAGAGGTCATGTGCCTGACGTGTGGGCGAGCGTGCGGGAAAGCGCACGGCAACACTGAAATGTGTATACGCGTTTCAGTTTTCTCGCCTTAATTCTCGTGCTACGTCGTTCGTTTTGGTATCATTGTGTTCGCAATAGAATTGCCTACAGGTGTATATTCATATGTCCAAAAGCCTGGCATGACTCCCAACAGCAAAGCCTAAAGTCGGCAAAAGTTACCCGTGAGCACACAAAATCAGTAAAATGTGTATACTCGTTTCAGTTTTGTCACCTTAATTCTCGTGCTATGTCGTTCGTTTTGGTATCATTGTGTTCGCAATTAAATTCCCTACAGGAGTATATGCATATAATGTACAAAAGCCCGGCGTGCCTCCCTACAGGAAAGCCTAAATTTACCCGTAAACGAGCACCAATTGGTACACCGCAACCTAATGTGTATACTTGTTCAGTATGATAACATCAATTTTCGTGTTACGTCTTTCATTTTGGTATCAAATTGTTTGCAATTAAAAGGCACATATTTTAAAACTAGTCCCATAATAATAGAGTAATAACTTGAATTTTAACAAATATTTTAATTCTGTAAACTCATCACAAAATTATTTATATCTTTCCAGTGTTCTGACATAAATGTTTGTGTTACAGCTTTCATTTTGGTACCAAGTGGTTTGCAATGTAAAGGCACGCATTTTAAAACTCACCCCAAAATAATACCACAATAAATAGAATTTTAACAAATATTTTAAAATTTTGACCAAAAACGTATTTATAAACTTTCAAGTGTTCTGATATCAAGTTTCGTGTCACATCTTTCATTTTTATATCAAATTGTGCACTCTAAAGGCGCTTATTTTGAAACTATCCCGAAGTCGATCGGATAAAAAATGAATTTAATACAAATATTTTTGTAATGGCGCGAGTCCTGTCCACGGCTAGGACTCGAGAGAAAAAAATGGACGTGATCGGTGTCCAAAGCGAGCGATAGTGCTAACATCATCATTTCTCGGCTGGCGCATTTTCCTGCAAACGAGTATTCTCGCCTGGCGCAGCACAGTGGTTAAGTAATGTAATCATTACATGTTTATGTAAAAAGATTAAACTTCAATGAATATTTCAGCATCTTTCATGAATATCATGACCTTATTAAGAACTAAATATGGATTGATTGCATCACGGGTGACTGAAGGAGGTATGCATCTCCAGGCACTTATCACAGTATAATACAGCTTCTGATACACACGTTTTATGAAATATACATGTTATCCTATTTAAAATAGTGTAATGTATTTATTTACATAAAACTACATTTGCTTTTTGTAACAATTTTTGTGTGTACATACAATACAGTACAATGAATAGTTACAAATTAATTAGAATTAATAAAGCAGTAAATTAGGTACATGTACACACACACACTCAACCCCAAAAATCCATACCCCTACTGAAGGGAACATCTAAAACAGCAGAAACTTTTTGCCAATGAACAGTTCAAACATAACTGGTAATAAAGGCGCTGTACTGGCCAGGACAGGAGCTGTTGATACAAGCAGAGATGTCTAGCATGTGCTGTGTGGATTACCTGTTGTTACCATCATTCCCTCAACTTGAGAAACACTATGTTAAGTTAAAAGTACAATTGGATTTAGTGAAAAAGCACATTTCTCATTCATGATAATAAAGCTTCAAAATCATGAACAGGTCGTAAGAAGAAAAGCAAAAATTGGAGCATCATCAGCAAGATTATGAAGGTTAAGACAGAATTGATAGAAAAGGAACAATAACTGTGAGCAAGAACCCTTTTGCTCCCATACAAAACGAATACTGCATTGAGGAAATTATCAACGACTACAGCAAACAAGGAAAAAGGTATGAACAAACACATGGCCAATAAAGATAAGGAAGTTTTAATTGTTTCTTAGTCTAAATTAGGTACATGGACCAAGCACTCTGTAGCTTGTACAGTATAGGAAAATAAGATGTTAAAGTCAGTGGCATAGCCAAGTTCTTACATTAGGGGGAAGTGAGTACAGTACATACCAAACCAAATATTTGTTTAAATTCATTATACATACAGTATTGTATACAGTTTGTACATGAAATAAAAACACAAAAAGATAGTTTTATAATAAATACATATCATTTGTATATAAAATAACAGTTTTATGAAAAGTTTATAAATTTAAATTGTAAATAACATCAAAACATAATAAAAACACTTGTTAGTTACTTATACAGAGCACCACTTGGTTTCCGAACTTTAGTTATCCGAAACTTCCAGTTTCCCGATTGGGGTTGGGGAGTCATGCTTCCCGAACAAAGTTCGGGTAGGAAGGGGTCCGCCAAGCGTCACGCCGGCTTGTGGTGGTGGGTGGGCGATGGTCCAGTTTGCCCACTGTGACTTCACAGATTCACGGCCTATTATTCCGATTATTTTGAATTGCCATAAGGTTGGAATGTTCATTCTGTGCTTTTGTTTTACATATCTGCACAATCAAGAAACATCTGTGCACCATGTTGGCTCCAAATGCACGCATTGCGTCAGTGATGGCTGACTGGTGGGTGGATGGACGATGGAGTTTAGGTGGGAGGCAGTATGAATGAGGGGGGGGGGGGAGAATCAGTGAGAGAGGGGGGGGGAGAGAGATGCTAGGAGGGAGGGGGAGGTAGGGAGAGATGTTAGGAGGTAGGGAGAGATGCTAAGAGGGAGGGGGAGGTAGGGAGAGATGCTAGGAGGTAGGCAGGAAGGGATGGAAGTAGTAGTGAGAATTAGGGAGGGAAAGGCAGGCTGGCAGGCACAGGCAGGCAGGCTGGCAGGCACAGGCAGGCAGGCACAGGCAGGCACAGGCAGGCACAGGCAGGCAGACAGGCAGGCAGGCAGGCAGGCTAGCTTGCAGGCAGGGAGTGAGTGGTAGTCACGCGGTTGAACCGCGTGACCTTGAGAGATGGGATGTAGGGGGGCGGGTGGTTTGTTGGTGGTGGGGGTGAGACCGGCTCATTCCCGAAGATAAGCCTAACACACACTACCCGTTAGCATGATGGCAGGGAGGGAGGCAGGCTGGCTGGAAAGGAAGCAGGCTGGCAGGCTGGGAAGGAGGCAGGCTGGCAGGCTGGGAAGGAGGCAGGCTGGGAAGGAGGCAGGCAGGCTGGGAAGGAGGCAGGCTGGCAGGCTGGGAAGGAGGCAGGCTGGCAGGCTGGGAAGGAGGCAGGCTGGCAGGCTGGGAAGGAGGCAGGCTGGCAGGCAGGGAAGGAGGCAGGCTGGCAGGCTGGGAAGGAGGCAGGCTGGCAGGCAGGGAAGGAGGCAGGCTGGGAGGCTGGGAAGGAGGCAGGCTGGGAAGGAAGAGGCTGGCAGGCTGGGAAGGAGGCAGGCAGGCAGGCTGGGAAGGAAGGCAGGCAGGCAGGCTGGGAAGGAGGCAGGCTGGGAAGGAGGCAGGCAGGCAGGCAGGCTGGGAAGGAGGCAGGCTGGGAAGGAAGCAGGCTGGCAGGCTGGGAAGGAGGCAGGCAGGCAGGCTGGGAAGGAGGCAGGCTGGGAAGGAAGCAGGCTGGCAGGCTGGGAAGGAGGCAGGCAGGCAGGCTGGGAAGGAGGCAGGCTGGCAGGCTGGGAAGGAGGCAGGCTGGCAGGCTGGGAAGGAGGCAGGCTGGCAGGCAGGGAAGGAGGCAGGCTGGCAGGCTGGGAAGGAGGCAGGCTGGCAGGCAGGGAAGGAGGCAGGCTGGGAGGCTGGGAAGGAGGCAGGCTGGGAAGGAAGAGGCTGGCAGGCTGGGAAGGAGGCAGGCAGGCAGGCTGGGAAGGAGGCAGGCAGGCAGGCAGGCTGGGAAGGAGGCAGGCTGGGAAGGAGGCAGGCAGGCTGGGAAGGAGGCAGGCTGGGAAAGAAGCAGGCTGGCAGGCTGGGAAGGAGGCAGGCTGGGAAGGAGGCAGGCAGGCAGGCTGGGAAGGAGGCAGGCTGGGAAGGAGGCAGGCTGGGAAGGAGGCAGGCTGGGAAGGAAGCAGGCTGGCAGGCTGGGAAGGAGGCAGGCAGGAAGCGATATATGGGTGTTGAAGTGAGCCGTGAACCACGTGACCTTTGAGAGAGTGTGTGTGTGTGTGTATGGGTTTGGGGTGGGGGGGGTGGGGGTGGTGTGTCGGTGGTGGGGGGAGAGGGGGAGGTGTGTCGGTGGTGGGGGGAGAGGAGGAGGTGTGTCGGTGGTGGGGGGAGAGGGGGAGGTGTGTCGGTGGTGGGGGGAGAGGGGGAGGTGTGTCGGTGGTGGGGGGAGAGGGGGAGGCGTGTCGGTGGTGGGGGAGGGACCGGCTGACTCCGTAAGCCTAACCACACTCCACAGACCTGTGACCCAGATTTGTTTCTTAAATGTACAGTACATCATCGTAAATTTTAGGCAGGATGTTCCTGCAGGCTGGCAGGAAACAACCAGAGGATGTTTGCCAGACGTCTTAATAATCAGTTAGGAACAATTAAGGACTTTTATAAAGCGGATCAGGACTTCACTTATTGATGAGTACAATCAAAACACGGTCGCATTTACGCCATGAACCTGACGATTTTTTTCCCTAGAGTTTTTTTCATAAATTTTTCGGAAAAATTTCTTTTTACATTTCTAGTTTATTTTTTCCCCTCTATTTCTCGTATACGAACTTACATGTTAACCGACGGGTCTCGTCCCCAAGGGGTTCGGAAACCAAGTGGTGCTCTGTATTTTAAAGAAAATCACTCTTGCACAATTTTGGTCAAACTGCCATTAATATTGTGTAAATGTACTGTACCTCAAAATCCTAATTTGTTTACACCATCTGCACATGTAAAAATGCTTTGTATCTAAGCAACAAAATTTGAAAGCCACATTTTTAAAATGCTAAAATGTTTTAATTGTGTTGTAGTGCCATCCACCATTTCTACAACACAGTCTGATTCAAGAAGGGTTGACCCGACAACTCACTTGGAATGGGCCAATAGACCTTCACCTCCCCAGCCGCCCTGCTTGGACTTAACAATATACTTATTATGACTATTGGCATGTCTTTTATTTAGGCCTGATAAAAAAATTTTGCATGTACTTTGTGCTGCTTGTAATCCATAATATCACACTTTCCAGAAAAACTTGTTGCATCATTCTCAATCAATTTGAATTACAATTACTAATGATTTGGCATATTTTTTCATAAAATTAAAAGATGTGGTAAACTGCCAGATAAAAGGGTAATTATCTAAGTAATTACCTAAATGTAGTTACAGGATGAGAGCTACACTCGTGGGGTCCCTTTTTTCCCAGCACGCTTTGTCATATAGCGCTTTGAAACTACTGATGGTTTTGGCCTCCACCACCACCTCACCTAACTTGTTCCGTCTACCACTCTGTTTACAAAAGTGAATTTTCTTATATTTCTCCAGCAGCTTTGTTTCGTTAATTTAAATCTATGACCTCTTGTTCTTGAAGTTCCGGGTCTCAGGAATTCTTCCCTATCAATTTTATCAATTCCGGTTATTATTTTGGACGTAGTGATCCTATAGCCTCTTTCTTCTCTCTTCTAGTTTTTGCATATTTAATGCCTCTAACCTCTCCTCGTAGCTCTTGTCCTTCAGTTCTGGGAGCCACTTAGTGGCATGTCTTTGCACCTTTTCCAGTTTGTTGATGTACTTCTTAAGATATGGGCACCATACAACCGCTGCATATTCCAGCTTTGGTCTAACAAAAGCTGTGAACAATTCCTTTAGTATTTCTCCATCCATGTATTTAAAAGCAATTCTGAAGTTAGAAAGTTTAGTACAGGCTTCTCGCACAATGTTCTTAATGTGGTCCTCAGGTGACAGTTTTCTATCTATAATCACCCCTAGATCTCTTTTTTTGGCAGAATTCTTTAAAGATTTCTCACATAATTTATAGGTTGTGTGGAGGTCTATGTTCTCCAATTCCACATTCTATAACATGGCATTTATTCACATTAAATTCCATTTGCCAAGTGGTGCTCTATATACTTATTTTGTCCAGGTCTTCTTGAAGGGCATGACAATCATCTAAGTTTCTTATCTTCCCTATTATCTTAGCATCATCAGCAAACATGTTCATATAAATCTGTATTCCATCTGGTAGATCGTTTATGTAGACAATGAACATTACCGGCGCAAGAACTGAACCCTATGGTACTCCACTTGTGACATTCCTCCAATCCGATACATTGCCTCTGATTACGGCCCTCATTTTTCTATTGGTTAGGAAATCTTTCATCCATGTTAGAAGCTTACCTGTCACCCCTCCAAAATGTTCCAGTTTCCAGAACATCCTCTTATGTGGAACTCTGTCAAAAGCCTTTTTTAGGTCCAAATAGATATAGTCAACCCAACCATCTCTTTCCTGTAATATCTCTGTGGCTCGATCAAAGTAACTGAGTAAATTCGTTACACAGGATCTTCCAGATCAAAAACCATACTGTCTGACTGATATTTATATCATTTTTTCTCCAGGTGTTCTACCCCATTTAGTTTTAATTATTTTTTCCAATATTTTGACTATTACACTTGTCAATGATACAGGTCTATAATTGAGGGGGGTCTTCCCTGCTGCCACTTTTGTAGATTGGAACTATGTTAGCCTTTTTCCACATATCAGCTACAACTCCTGTACACAGGGATGCCTGAAAAATCAGTTGAAGTGGAATGCTGAGCCTAGGTGCACATTCTATCAGAACCCATGGTGAAACTCCATTTGGACCAACTGCTTTGTTCTTTCTTAGCTCCTTGAGCATTTTTTTCCACTTTGTCTCTAGACACCTCTATGTGCTCTATGTTGTTCTCTGGAATTCTTATTGTGTCTGGTTTCCTGAAGATTTCATTTTGTCCAAAAAAACTTTGAAACTTTTCGTTTAATGTTTCACATTTCTTTTTCATTTTTCGTGTATCTGTCCCCCATTTTCAACCTCAAGGGTAGAGGCCTTCCCGAGTTAAAAATCCAGAGATAAATTTTTGGAGCTTATTTTATCAATGAGAATTAATTTAAATTATTCACATTACCGTATATGCAGAGCAGTATGTAAATACTGTAATGCACTTGAAGCTATTTCCCTAAGCTATGTTTGGAGACCTAATAGTTCACCCAGCATGGTGCTTGCACCATTTTAAGTCTGACTATATAAATAGTAAATAGTTACTGCCAGTAAATAGTTATTGGCAACCAGAGTGAGATTGCTGAAAGAAGAATTTTGAGAAATCTTTCAGCACATGCTCCAGGTAATTTGCTGAACTAAGTAGAGCAAATTGTTTCACCACCTCACCATTTACTGTTACATACCACTAGAATGAAGAAAATATACAAGTTCTGGGGAATTTTACAGTACAATGAATAATTACTGTAAAGTACTTATTCACTTTTATTTTAGCTATTATCTCTGAAAGAAGCTGGGCTAATAAAAACTGTATTCAATCCTTTTGTATGCCAGGGTTGAAATATATTGCATGAAAATCAAAATAATAAATGTTACTCATGTCATGTATCATTTTCAGCCAACTGCATAATAAGGTTCTCAAAAACCTTCATTTATACATTGGAAACTTAAACCTTGTTAAATTTGAAGAATGTGGAAACGCCAAATCATGTTTACAAAGAGAGCGAGCCCCATCCAGAACAGAATTTGGTTTTGTTTTTTATCTTCCTCCTTTTCACTATTAGAACAGCAGCCATGAAAGTTTTACCATTGTTCAAACAGAATTTGTTGAGAAAAAGTTAATTCTTGATGCCAGTTTCTAGATCACTTCAAGCATCTGACTGATTTGCAAAAACACAAAATGGAAAATAAAACAAAATGATCACTCTTACTGAATAAACCAGCCAATGGCTATCAATTTCATAATCACTTTATACATGTTTCTGTATGTAGCGTGTCGCACTGAAATGACATCCAGCTTCATTAGTCATAATACTGTATCGTCATTTGATGATTATCAATACTGGTGCTTGGGTTGTACAGCATTGTATACCAATGATGTTAGTATTGTATGGTTATAAAAATCTATGGCTGTAATGCACCTAACCAAGACTCACATTATTTTTATAACTGTTTACTAAGTGATGTGGGTATCATGTTCTAAGTGCCTGAGGTTATTGTCTAATCATGAGTTGGTCATTCCCATCAGTATATGAATCCATGCCCGAGCAACATTACCAGACAGAATCATAGCTAAGGAGTGGTTTCACACTTCCATCAACCTGTGACCAGAATAGATTTACGTGGACAGGTGTACATTCAGTACAGTATTATGGTATTTTGCATGCCTATATATGATATTCAACCACTTGACCTTTTATTCAATTATGCATACATTTATAAAGTTAATCAACACAAATGCTACTATGTGTAGGTGTACCAGTAAAAAAAAAAATCCAACGTAAACATAAGAGTCCTCTGCTCTTGCACCACTTTATCAAATGAGGTAATGACACCACCACCAAGCTTTCTAGTACCTGTACAGCTCACAAAAACATAAAAAAAGAAAGAAAAAAATTGGGGGGGGGGGGAGGGTGTCCTTTCCCTACTTTTACTTTCAAATTTATCATTCTAAAAGTTATTATTTTATTTTTTATTTTTTTGCCACAGGTGGGGTGACAATTCTGATGAAAGCCAAATTTTGAGGGTTAAGACCTGGCTAATGAAGGCCTAATTCAAGTAGAAGACATACGCTCAGGAGTTAGAGCTGTGTCACACAATAGGTGTCAATTTGTTGGGTTTTCCAATGAGTGTCAATCAATGATTGCACGCAGTCTTACTGTGTTATCTTCATCTTCTGTATAATAGTCTGCTGAAGAGATCAGGTTTTCTGAAGGTTCCACTTTATCACCTGTGTAGGTGCAGCAGCCAGGGTGCAGTAATCATCTCCTAGGGTGAAGGTAGATACTAGCAAGTCTTCTGCAGGTTCCACCTTTGGTACAGCAGACATTTTGGGTGTGAGGAATGAAGAGTAGGTATCCAATTTTATATAATTTGCTGGTTCATTTACTTGATCTGCAAATTTCTTTCATCTTTCTGTCCCATCCATAATATTTCTTCTTTATGCTTTCCTGCATTCCTTATCGGAATAAATAAAAATGAATGGCTACAATATATAATCACTGTATTATAAAACAAAATTGCTTTGTTAATCTTGGAAATTGTAACAATATATAATACAATATGTACATATATATACAGTACATGGAAATTTAAAAAAAATTGCAATATATGGTTAGTACTGTACCTTATATTAAATTTAACAATCTAAAATCTAACTGAATTCTGAATCTAAAAATAATACAAATAATAAAATTGACAATAAAAATAATAACAACAACAACAAAATTAACAATAATACCTAATAATAAAAAAATTTAAATAATGACAAAAAAAAACAGCATTAAATGTAATAAAATGCCCTTTTCTGGGTGAGTCCCGGAGGCTTCCCAGAGCTATTCAGGCTGATATGGCATTATTAGCTTTCTGGCATTAAAGTGCATGGAATTCTTGCCTACAAGGTACTATGAGCCAGAACCTGGCCCTCCTTAGAGAGGCACACGGAGCAATGGCCTATAGAAACCCGCCATGTGGATGGGAGCATTCTATATCTGCCATTGACCGGGTCTGGCACCCAGAAAGGTAGGCGCCCCAAAACAAACCCCCTATTCTGGTGAAAATATTGCTACCAAAAGCCAAACGAGTGGACTAAACTCCCCAAACAAAAATTAGCAAACAAGCCTGAGGTCATCACCTTGCTGCGCCGCTGTCTGTGCAACCCCACTCCCCGGGAGAGGAAAAAAGGGAGCTCCAGAACCTCGCACTGGCGATCCAACTGTCAGTTCTTAGGCTGGATGTCAAAAATACGGAAAAAACACCGCCGACCGGAGGGAGGGAGGGAGGGTTGCCAGCGAGCCTCCTTGACTCAACCAGAAAATGGTGTTTCATTACATTTAATGCTGGTTCTCTGGGAGGATCCCCATTGGCTACCCGAAGCTACCTCACCAAAGATAAGGAAAAGTGAGGGAAGGACCAGGGAGGTGGACGCCATGTGCCCTAAACACAAAATCAAGACAACTGGCAAAACCACAGGACCTTGTAGATGACCCGGGAGACCTGAACACTGGAACAGGACAGAAGGAAGGGAACGTGAGCAACCCAAAGCGCGTCCACGGCCACAGAGGCCATGATATGCAGACAACAGCGGAGAGTCACAACCGAACAACAATACATGATACACCCCCTGGCCAGACCAACCAAGCAACAACAAAACCAAGGACCGCTCCGGAAAGCAGCAGACCCATTCACTGCAAAAATAAGAGATGGCTTCAAATGAACCAACTTACCACCAGGATCAAACGACCAGAAAAACACCAGTGTCAGAGGAAAGCATGAAGCTCCCAGACTCGACCCTCAGAGGCCAAAGCCAATAGGAAAAAAAGAGCCCTAGACAAACAAACCGGAACCGAAGGGGCCACAACATCTGAGAAGAAGAGAAAAAGGAGAGCACCCAGTCCAAAGACCAGGATGGCCAGGCGGTGCATGAGCAGACCAGAGGTGAAACAACGCACAAGAAAGCTTGCGGAACAGAGCAGACGTAACATCAATACCGAACACAAGCTCGAGCGGATCCGCCAGCACCACACAATATGAGGCGACAGTATTCGGAATAAGATGACGGTCCTGAAACAACCATGAAAGGAAGGATAAGACAACCCAATCAGAGACTGAAGTACATCTACGCAGTGATATGAAAAACTGGAAAAACCACCAGGAAACTTCATACTGCCGCCGAGATGAAGCATGCAGGTAGGAGACCAACAACGAAGCCACCTGTGCCCCATGCAAGTGATGAGAGACTCGAGTCAGAAACTCCAGACAAGAAGACTCGAGGAAAAGAATGAACCAGCCTCATACCGGGCTGGACCGATCTGCTGAAAGAGACAGAACTGCGGGAAGACCCTCGGGTTCGGACACCGAGCAAGCAGCGCTTGAAACCTTAGAGGGAACTAGATGGGACTTTCGCCAGTGCACAAAAAACCCAAACCTGGCAAGCCAAGAAAGAACCAAATCCCTGGTGAGCAGACTGGCAGGTAGCCCAAACCAGCCAGTCGGCGAGGGAGGTAGAACCTGAACACCTAACAGACGCAGGCAGACCATGCGACCAGGGTATGAGTGTAAAAACATGAGGTGCCAGATTCAAACCGAAGGGAAAGCAGCAAAAGCGGTAACCCTGATGCCCCACAACAAAACCAAGCCAGTCCCTTAACCCCGGATGAATTGGGACGTGCTAATACAGGTCCTTGAAGTCTAGGGACACCATCCAAGCGTATGGCTCCAACAGAAGACGTACCTGGGAAAGAGTAGTCATCCGAAGGGAGGGGCAATAAACCCACGAGTTCATACGGGATAAGTCCAAAATAAACCGGAGGTCCGCACAGACCCATTTTGGGACCAGAATGAGGCGGGAACCCCACCTGAGAGACAAAGTCGTGTCGACCATGCCCAAGCAAACCCACTCCGAGATGACTCAACAGACCGCAGGAGAAGAGGCCTGATACCTGGTTGATACTGGTTGATGGGGTTCTGGGAGTTCTTCTACTCCCCAGGCCCGGCCCGAGGCCAGGCTCGACTTGTGAGAGTTTGGTCCACCAGGCTGTTGCTTGGAGCGGCCCACAGGCCCACATACCCACCACAGCACGGCTGATCCGGAACTTCTCTTTGAAAACAGTCCAGTTTTCTCTTGAAGATGTCCACGGTTGTTCCAGCAATATTTCTTATAGTCCCTGGGAGGACGTTGAACAACCGCGGACCTCTGATGTTTATACTGTACAGTGGTTCTCTGATTGTGCCTATGGCACCTCTGCTCTTCAATGGTTCTATTCTGCTTTTTCTTCCATATCGTTCACTCCAGTATGTTGTTATTTTATTGTGTAGATTTGGGACCTGGCCCTCCAGTATTTTCCATGTGTATATTATATGGTATCTCTCTCTCGTCTCCTTTCTAGAGAGTACATTTGGAGAGCTTTGAGACGATCCCAATAATTTAGGCGTTTTATCTCGTCTATGCGTGCCGTATATGTTCTCTGTATTCCCTCTATTTCAGCAATCTCTCCTGCTCTGAAGGGGGAAGCGAGTACTGAGCAGTACTCGAGACAGGACAACACAAGTGACTTGAAGAGTACAACCATTGTGATGGGATCCCTGGATTTGAAAGTTCTCGTAATCCATCCTATCAGTTTTCTGGCTGACGAAATATTTGCTTGGTTATGCTCCCTAAACGTTAGGTCGTCTGACATCATTATTCCCAAATCCTTTACATGCTGTTTTCCTACTATGGGCAGATTCGATTGTGTTTTGTACCCAGTATTATGTTTCAGATCCTCATTTTGCCGTACCTGAGTACCTGAAATTTATCACTGTCAAACATCATGTTATTTTCTGCTGCCCAATCGAAAACTTTGTTGATATCTGATTGTAATTTTTAAATGTCTTCACCAGAGGTAATTTTCATGCTGATTTTTGTGTCATCTGCAAAGGATGACATGAAGCTGTGGCGTGTATTTTTGTCTATATCTGATATGAGAATAAGGAACAGTAGCGGTGCAAGGACTGTACCTTGAGGTACAGAGCTTTTAACTGCGCTTGGACTCAATTTTATTTGATTGACTGTTACTCTTTGTGTTCTGTTCGACAGGAAATTGAGTATCCAGTGTCCTACTTTACCAGTTATTCCCATTGACCTTATTTTGTGTGCTATCACCCCATGGTCACATTTGTCGAACGCCTTTGCAAAGTGGGGGTATACAACATCTGCATTTTGCTTTTCTTCTAGAGCTTCTGTGATTTTGTCATAGTATTCACCTAGTTGTATTCACTTAGTTGTGTTTGCGGGGGTTGAGCTTTGCTCTATTGTAATTTTAGTGAATTTTTAATAAGTAATATTTTGACAATAAACATTTATTATGGACACATTACTGACACATGTATTACAGTTCCATGGAACATTATGAACGTTCTACTGTATACATATTGTAAAGGACACAAATGTGCATCATATACGATAAAAAAAAATAAAACCACATTAGAAATACATAGAACAAATAATTGAAAATATATTTGTGGCAACTTGCAGTGCTTGAATGGCCTGCGCGAACGCTTCTGGGAGCTTGACGCACGGGCATCCAGTCTCTGATGACGTCACAGCGCACCTTTTCCACGTCCTCACAGTCAGAGTAAGTGGAATTTGGTATTTATTTTTACATAGACATGTTCAGGGAAGGGAATTCACCATTTTACGAAGAAAATAGAATTTTTGGTAACACTATTTCATGCGCACAGGGGGAATTTTACAATAAACTCAGTGCAGCATGGTGGTTAAGGCAAGCAGGGGATGGTTTGACAAATTTATAAAAAGAAGTGGTATTCATAGTGTTGTGAGGCATGGGGAGGCTGCCCGCTCAGACAAACCAGCGGCTGATAGATTTATTGAAGAATTTAAAGATTTTATAGAGGCTGAGGGATACCTATCGCAACAAGTGTTTAATTGTGATGAGAAAGGACTGTTCTGGAAAAGATTGCCTAAGAGGACATACATTACCCAGGAGGAGAAATCATTGCCCGGACACAAGCCTATGAAAGATAGGTTTACTCGTGCTGTGTGGTAATGCGAGTGGCGATTTGAAAATTAAACCCTTGTTTGTGTATCATTCTGAAAATCTAAGGGTTTTCAAAAAATATAATGTGCAGAAAAGTCAAATGTGTGTGATATGGAGGGCTAATAGTAAGGCATGGGTGACAAGGCTATTTTTTACGGAGTGGTTGAATGAGGTAGTGTGCCCTGCCATACAAAAATATCTGCAGGAGAAAAGTTTGCCACTCAAGACCCTGCTTCTCCTCGACAATGCTCCTGCTCATCCTCCAGGCTTGGAAGATGCATTGTTGAACAGATACTGTAATTTTCTCACAGTAAAGTTCCTCCCTCCTAGCACCACTCCTCTAATTCATCTAATGGACCAGAAAATCATAGCCAATTTCAAAAAACTTTATGAAAGTGCACTTTTCCAGAAATGTTTTTCA